GTTTTTGTGCAAACAATTTTTAATTCGAAATAATTTTGTATTAATAATTGATATAATAATAGTTATCTTGTATAATCTATTGAATCAATTCATTTCTAATTAAAATGGGAAAAAGGAAAAGAAACGGTAAGTTTTAAATTTTATTGCGCATTATTGCACAAGATTTATGACGCGTATATCATCCGGGGAATAACAGAATATACATAAGTATGATTAAATTCATATCAAACTCGCAATACTGTTTAACTGCGTGTCAGTTTATTGCTTAACGCTAAACTGTGCGTACGCGTTTTTGTGCAAACAATTTTTAATTCGAAATAATTTTGTATTAATAATTGATATAATAATAGTTATCTTGTATAATCTATTGAATCAATTCATTTCTAATTAAAATGGGAAAAAGGAAAAGAAACGGTAAGTTTTAAATTTTATTGCGCATTATTGCACAAGATTGATGACGCGTACATAATAAATATACTTATTAAATTTGTTAAATCCATTTTCTTAATCTCACTGATCACTGAAATCTCACTGAAATCATCACTGCTTTCAATTGCTAATATAGAAAGATCATTCAGCCGCGATTGTCCCATACTATTTCTTCTATAGTCCTTTATTATTTTTAAGTTGCTAAATGATCTTTCTACAGAAGCCACTGTTACAGGGAGTGTGAAGAACAATATAAAAACAGAAAATACATCTGATATATCAGTTTCTAAGCAATTATATTTGGTCATTACTAAGTTAGCAAAATCTTTTACACTTTGCAATTCTTTTAACTTGTATAAATTGCAATGAAAATTGTTCACTTAAAAAAGTTGAATACTTCTTTTGTAATTTTTCACATTCTTTTAAAATATCTTTGTCTTTTAACGTTGATAATCTTTGTGGATCCAGAAATCCAAAATAATTTCTTAATTTTTCCATGCTTTTAAATCTTTCATGTAGTTGATGTGAAATAGTATCTATGACAACATTAAATATTCCAACTCTAAACATATCTTCTCTTGAAGAAAAGTGATAATTTTTCGCCAATTCATCAAAATGGTGTTTCACTTTAGGCTGTCGTTTCTTTTGAAACTCAAGGGGAACATTCCAAGTTCTTGCAATTTCTGCAGCCTCACCTTTTATTTCAGTAAATTTTGATCTACTTTCTGAAACTTTATTATAAGATTACTATTAT